TTTTTTAGTAGCCACTTAGTCGAAAACACTGGCCAAAGTAAGCATTCATATTTGTTTGTGTGTGAAAAAAGTAAAAAAACTAAATTGAACGCTAATTTTGGCCAGTGTTTGTGACCAAGTGGTTACTAAAAAAGACTGGACATACCCCATTTGCAATACCTTGGGTTGTCTTCTTTTGCAAATGGTATGCCATCATGGGGGTAATTCTCATTCCTGGGCTACCATACGCTCTCAAAGGCAACGTAACCAACCTGGCCATTTTCAATGTAAAAATATTTGACCCATATATTTGACCTTGTAACTTTCAAAAATGCTATAAAACCTGTACATGGGGGGTACTGTTTTACTCGGGAGACATCGCTGAACACAAATATTAGTGTTTAAAAAACTGGAAAACGTATCACAACAATTATATCATCAGTAAAAGTGCTGTTTGTGTGTGAAAAATGCAAAAAAAGTCACTTTCACTGACAATATCATCGCTGTGATATGTTTTACTGTTTTGAATCACTAATATTTGTGTTCAGCTAAGTCTCCCGAGTAAAACAGTACCCCCCATGTACAGGTTTTAGGGTGTCGTAGAACGTTACAGGGTAAAATACAGTGCTAGCAAATTAAATTCTCTGGAATTTCGGCCTGGGTTGGCAGGCAGGTCCCTCAAATTGCAATCAATAAAATTACTGAATTATGTAAAAATATTACATAAATATGCACGTAGAATTTAAATATATATGCATAGTATATAGTTTAAGTCTACGTGTATATTTATATAATTATTTATGTAATTTTGTATATGGACATATGTATATTTCGTATTATTTTTATTTATTTATATATACATAGATATATATACAAATTCATTCTAAGTGTATTTTGATATAAATATATATATATTAATTTTAAAATACAGTTAGAATAAAATTTCATATAGATATATAATTTTTTTTTCAATTTTTTATTATTATTTAAAAAAAAAATATTTAATTTAAATTACTTATTATTTATATTTTATAATAATATATATACACAATATATATAGTTATTATATATATTATATATATACGTGTGTAATTTAATTATAAGTGTATTTTTATATTAATATAAGTACATATTAATATAAAAATACACTTAGTATGGCATTATATATATGATATATAGACATATATTATATAGATATAATATATGTCTATATATCATATATACACCTATATAATTATTATTTTTTTTATTAACATTAACTTTATTTTTTTTTTTGATTTTACACAGCAGGGAGACTGCCTGTCAGCACAGACAGTCCCCCTGCAGGCAGACACATGGACACCTATTGTGACCATGTGATCGCTGTGTTAAGCGATCACATGGCCACAGGGGTCCTAAATCAGTGTGGGGAGACTGTCTGGGCTGCAGGCAGTCTCCCCACAACCGGAGCCACGCTGATCGCCGCCGGGGGAACGACGGCGATCAGGTAAGTAACTAAGACCGTTAGGACGGTTCAGGACCGTCATCGGTCGGCAACGCAAAAATGCCGATGACGGTCCTGAACCGTCCTGGGTCGGGAAGGGGTTAACAGAAACTGAGCATCACATGTAAAAAAGGTTAACACAAGTTAGAGGATTTTTTATATTTTATTCAATGGCATAATTTCCAGAGAAAAGATGGTTCTCATGCATATTTCTGTAAAACGCCTGTCAAACACTGAATAATACAAATGATACATTACGATATACTTCCCTGGGCTCTTAGAAATATGAACAGAGTGCCTTGGGTCTAATGAAAGTATTAGCCGTAGTCTTCACAAATATGTTAAAATCTCACACAGAATCGCGATCAGTGTTTTGACATGCTGCAAAGATGATCCAACAACATGATCTGACCATCAAAGAGCACAATGATAAGTACATATCTCTATAATCTTATTATATTTTACGTTTTAATTTGATATACAGCAAGTTTAGACAGTACACTTAGAATATACAGTTTTATATTGCTTAACATTAAAATAAATTCGCTAGTTACTACTTGCTTTTGCTGTAGGATTCTAAAGGAGAAATGAAATGTATATAGCTATACAGTACATATGCATGTCTACGTATACCTACTTGTATGTCTGCATACATTTAAGAATGAAATATTATATAACTCAGGGGTATTGGATAACACTTACTGTGAACTCTTTCTTTGAACATAATATCAAATTACCACCTTCAAGGTGAGCCAGGATATAACTTGCCTTAAGTATTTTCATGGCACATGTCCAAGAACCTTTAAATAATGAACAATAATTGACATTATACAGCAATATTATGTTTGCTCTAGTAAGCGCTTGCTGTATTCCAGAGGGCTCGTAACTCAAATCTGTTTTATTGCTAATGAAATTTGAGATATCTAATAAATATATAATGCGAAATGCTGTGCAAGACGTTATAGCTGTAATTCCTCTAATGAAGAACCCTGCTTACTGGCACTCCTAATCAAAGTCAGGACTTGGACGGACACATCTGATAAAAAAAAAATATTGCTACTGCATTGTAACCTTGTGATATACATAATCTATAAGCATGTATGTATAGAGCCCAGGGTCAGTAACACCTGGACGAGGAAAATATTTTCACGCTTTCTAGGGGTGTGGCTAAATAAACAGTTCCTCCCTCTCTACACATTTTATTTCCTATACATGTACCTTCTTTTATGTACCGTATTCTGTTCCAACTAAAGTTTGGCTGAGTGCCATGGGATTGTAACCTAGAAATGTAATAGCAGTTTGTAAACTCAGTTCTAGATGACGCTCAATAGCTAAAATTGCAAATGCAGTTCACTGAATTCACATGAAACAGGTCTATAACGTATATCATGCTGTACATTCAATACGCTATAGTGAATTACTATAAATGTAAACAATTTTTTTTAAATTGTGCTGATTGGGAAATTTAGATTTTTTTGGTATATTTATATAAAAATATATGGATGGTATGAGAATTATGAAGTTAGAAGTTGCAACATTTGGGCAAAATAATGCAAGCTGGAAAAAGATCTTAGTCTTAAAGAATTAAATTAGTTATTTTTCTGCTTTAGACACATTTGATTAGTTTTTGCAATTCCTTTGTCGTTTCACCAAAATCTATTGATCAGTGAATACAGTCCCATTTGTTCATTTTTTTTTTGTATCCATGCTATAAATTGCTAATGGATATAACGGATCAACACTACAGGGGAACCATTTTGTTTAACCCTTGACACAGAATCATTATACTCTAACACCCATCTTCCTTTTGGGATTCCAACCGTAACTTACAACCTAACCTTTCGGTGTGATTAATTCCATGACACACGCAACTTATCCTCTTGCTCATTGAACAAGTGTAAAAGCAATTATTTTATCTTGAACAGATGGTACCGTAATCAAATGTGGGGCTTTAAAATGACATTATGTTTAAAGATATGTTTGCTTGTCTCTACATAAGCAATAGAATTATAGACAGAAAATAAATTTTATAGCTGAAGTGAATTTTCTTGCATTAATAGAATTTTGTAGAATGTTCTTACATATTACTAGTTTACAAGGTTAGTAAAAGTAAAAGCCAGTAAGGAGGACAACAAGCAACAGAGACACATTAAAGTAAACTAGATTATTGGTTTCAAATCGGGAAGGAAGGTGATTTTACAGCAATAGGTATAGTGACATTATGAGAGCGTTGAACTGTAGTAGAACCTGGTAGAGTTCAGGACTAGTAACAAAGGCGTTTTGCTTTTGCCTTTGGCCTTTTACATATTCTTGTTGTTGCTGCTCAGAAAAAAGAACCCTAATTCTTGGCTTCAGAAGAACAATCTGATTTCTCCCTGGAATTACAAGCCGTTTTAAAGAAGGCCCATATTTTTATTTTTTTTTCCTAACCCTGTGCAGTACTTCCCTGTAAACATAGAAGATGAATTTTGGTAAGACCACAGGACATGGTTCCAGTAATTCATGTCCTTAGTTTGCTTGTCTTCAGAAAACTGTTTGCTGGCTTTCTTGTGCATCATCTTTAAAAAAGGCTTCCTTCTGGGATGACAGCCATGCAGACAGGGGAGGGCTGGCAGCCTTAGGCTTGGGGGGCAAAACCAGTCAAGTGGCCCATTGCACCACCAAATCAGTTCACCATCCATGCCCACCTTTTCCTGGTTTTATAACGGATATTGATGTTATGCTAATCAGTAGCTCTTTGCCATACCTGCTCCTTCACGGCTCTGACTTTCAATGTTGTCAGAGCGCAGGCTGAGAATCTCTGAGCCTGTGCTCTGACTCACTAACTGAGCACCGGAACCACGAGGGACAGGATATAATCTGACTGCACCTACTGCTGGTGCGCACCAGTGGACCACCAGCGAATCATTTAAATCGAATATGCTGGTGTACCCAAGTTGTGAGCTGTGTTGACCGCCGGGCGCCTCTGTTGTCATGGCACCCTGCGTGACCGCACAGCGTGCACACCCCAATGGCTGGCCCTGCTGACACACACTGATGTTACTACTTAGAATCCCTCAATATTAATACAGACATCAGAATAAACACCAATAAACTGTGGAAACAGAGCTGATCCCCCAAAATTTATAAAGATTTGCTTAGTGGATTTGTTGTAAGATTAAATCATGCCTCCTCCTCTCTCTCTCCCATGCACTGCTCTGTAGGCTGGGAGGAAGTGAAGAGTAATCACATGTGGCTGCATGGGGAACAGCTGTTTAATGTAATGCTTGCAGGATGGCCAGCTGCCGCAGAACCTCTTTGTTCCTGTCTCTGCAAAGGGCTCCAGGCACTGCTTGTTGTGAGTGTGAGCCACTGTAAATTAAGGGCAGAGGGCAGTGGTGTATCCTGGTTTTGTGCTGCCCTAGGCAGGACAAAACTCAGGCGCCCCGCGCACCAACCCCCCCCTTCAACCCGCCTACTAAATAGATACATACACATACAATAACTGACAGATACACATACACTCGCTAACAGAAACACACTCACTGACACACTCACACTCACTAACAGACACACACTCACTGACACAGTCAGACACACACATACACACTAACAGACAAACACAGTCAGACACACACACTAACAAACATACACACATTAACAGACACACACTCACTGGCAAACACACAAACTAACAGACAAACACAGTCAGACAAACACACTAACAAACACACACACACATTAACAGACACACACTCACTGGCAAACACACACACTCACAGACACAGTCAGACACACACTAACAAACACACACACATTAACAGACACACACTCACTGGCAAACACATACACTCACAGACACAGTCAGACAAACACACTAACAAAACACACACACATTAACAGACACACACTCACTGGCAAACACACACTCACAGACACAGTCAGACAAACTCACAGACACACACTCACTGGCAAACACACACTCACAGACAACACACTCACAGACACAGTCAGACAAACACACTAACAAAACACATTTTTTAATTTATTTTTATTTACCCCCCCCCACCTCCTTACCTTTGGGAGTGCTGGGGGGAAGGGGGGTTCATTACCTCCCTGGTGGTCCAGTGGTTGCCGGGCTGGGCTGGGCAGGCGGCTGGCGAGGGAGCTCTTCCCCTGAGCGGTCTGCTCAGCTCCCTCGCGCCGCAAAGTGAGGCTGGGAGCCGGAAGATGACGTCATCTTCCGGCTCCCAACCTCACTCTGCGGCGCGCGAGGGAGCTGAGCGGACAGCTCAGGGGAAGAGCTCCCTCGCCAGCCGCCTGCCCAGCGCCCAGTGCCCAGCGCCACCCGGCCGGTCAGTTAGCCGCGAGGCTAACAAAGCATTTGCCTGGGCATTTGGGGGCAGCGTTTTTTGCCGCCCCCTGAAAAATGCCGCCCAAGGCAAATGCCTTGTTTGCCTCGCGGCTAATACGCCCCTGGCAGAGGGCACTTGCACTGTGGTAAAGACGGGTCTGGGCAGGAGGAGAGTGCAATGCAATCAGTGAACTCCCCTCCTGTGGGTCACTAGTAGACTGGTGCACCTGCCCAGGATCAGAGCCGGTGCAAGGATTTTTGCCGCCCTAGACAAAATAAAAATTTGCCGCCCCCCCATGTGACATCACAATGCCCCACCCATATGATCTGCCATATGAACTAACACCAGTGCTGCACACAGTGTGTGTTTACATTAAAAAGCCTGCAGGGACTGGCTATAGACACCAGAACCACTTCATTAAGGTATAGTGTCCCTTTCATGTGAGGTAAATTATAGATTAGTGTCACTAATAATATACTAGATTGCCTACAACCAGATGAGGATGATGATGGGCTGCAGTTTGGCTCCACTGGTCTGGTGTAGAACAGGATCTCTGGAGGCTGTTTGCAACTGTGGTTACAAAATTCAATGTTCTGGGAAAATTGGAAGCAGCTCCATTTTTTGGGGCCCCTTACACAGCTCAAGGTTTGGGCCCCAGGGCCTGACGGTGAGTATGCCCATAAGACCCACTCGTAAGTCCACTTATATGTTCCACCCACTCATGAGTTATCTCACAGGGAGTGGAGTGTGTAGGGGATGTGTTATGTGTTATTGTAGAGGATCTAACATGTGTGCTTATGGTATGTAGTGTATAGGGATACCAGTTTGTATAGATGATGCAGTGTGTTTGTGTGTAGTGGAAGCAGTGTGTATTTGTGTATAAGGGATGCATTGTGTGTTTCTGGTTGTGTGTAAGGGATGCATTGTGTGAATCTGTGTTTGTATGCATTAGGGATGCAAGGTGTGTGTCTGTATGTGTGTGCATTGAGTGTAAGAGATGCATTGTGTTTCTGTGTGTATGTAAGAAAAGCAGTGTGTGTGTTTGCATGTGTGTGTAAGGGTTTGCATTGTGTGTTTCTGTGTATGTGTGCAAAGGATGCATTGTCTTTGTGTGTAAGGGTTGCATTGTGTGTGTGTGTAATGGATGCATTGTGTGTTTCTCTGTGTGTAGGGATGCATTGTGTGTTTCTGTGTATGTATAGGGATGCATTGTGTGTGTGTGTGTGTGTGTGTGTGCGCATAGTGTGAAAGAGCTCCCTGTCTTGCCCCCTGTCCTATAGAGCTGTCCCTTCTGTCCCTAAAAGCTCTCCCCTGTCCCTTAGTGGTCTCTCCTCTCCCCCACCCTCCCCTAGCGGTCTCTTCTCACACTCACCCACCCTCCCTGTGCTCTTCTCATCCCCCCTCCACCCTCCCTGTGTTCTTCTCACTCCCCCCTCCATGTGTTCTCCTCACCCCCCCTATGGTCTTCTTACCCCCCTCCTCCCTGTGTTCTTTTTACTTCCCCCCTTGTTCTTCTTACTACCCCTTTGTTCTTCTTACCCCCATTCTTCTTACCTCCCTTGTTCTTTTCTCCCCCCTGTTCTTCTTACTCCCCCCACATGTTCTTCTTACCCCTCCTTGTTCTTCTTACTCCCCCCTTCTTCTTACTCCACCCTTCTTCTTCTTACCCCTTTCTTCTTCTTACCACCCCTCTTCTTCTTACTCCCCCCTCTTCTTCTTCTTACTCTCCCTTCTTCTTCTTACTCTCCCTTCTTCTTCTTACTCCCCTCTTCTTCTTCTTCTTCTTCTTCTTCTTACTCCCCTCTTCTTTCTCCCCTCTTCTTCTTCTTCTTCTTCTTCCTCCTCTTACTCCCCTCTTCTTACTCCCCCTTCTTCTTCTTACTCCCCCCTCTTCTTACTTCCCCTCTTCTTCTTACCCCCCTTCTTACTTCCCCTCTTCTTCTTCTTACTCCTCGCTGCCTCCACTCTTCCTCTTCCTCCTCCTCCTTCTTGTTCCCCTCATCTTGTTCCCCTCCTTCTTCTTGTTCCTCCTTCTTCTTATCCTTCAGCCCTGGCTTCTTGTCCTCCCTCCTTCTTCTTATCCCCTCCTTCTTCTTATCCCCTCCTTCTTCTTGCTTCCCTCCCCCCACTCTTCTTTTCTCCCTCCTGCTTATCCCCCTCTTCTTACTCCCCCCTCTTCTTACTCGCCCCCTCCTTCTTACTCGCCCCTTCACCTCCCCTTTCCTGTAGCATGGCCGAGCTCCTCTCCGGTCACGGTACCTGGCCGGAGTGATAGGAAGCTGCACACTCAGTCACTCAGTGTGCACTTCCTGTCAGTCTGGCCGGGTACTCCTGTTCCGCGCGGAGTTTCTGTTTCCTGTACTCGGCTGGACTGACAGGAAGTGCACACTGAATGTGCACCTTCCTATCACTCCTGCCGGGCATTGCGGACCGGAGAGGAGCTCGGCCACGCTACAGGGGAGGGAAGGGGAGGAAAGAAGCAGCTGCAGCCGCCAGAGGCTCTTAACAGAGCGCTCAGGCGGCTGCAGCATTAGGATCGGCCCTGCAGCGGCCGGTTTTAAAAGAATTTGGGGCGGACTGGGGGGCAATTGCCTCCCTGCCCCCCGGCCCAGCCCGCCCCTGCATGCAGACCAAATTGATGCAGTGTGCGGTGTATGGTTTGAGCACTGACAGACTGACTCCCCAGCCCTTCAACCTCTGCAGCAATGCTGGCTGCACTCATACGTCTATTTCCCAAAGACAAACTGTGGATACGACACTGAGCACGTGCACTCAACTTCTTTGGTCGACCATGGCGAGGCCTGTTCTGAGTGGAACCTGTTCCGTGAAAACACTGTATGGTCTTGCCCACCATGCTCCAGCTCAGTTTCAGAGTCTTGGCAATCTTCTTATAGCTTAGGCCATCTTTGAGGATCTAAAAAAAAAGAATTGTTGCTCTACATAGAGAGTTCTTTGTTATGAGGTGCCATGTTGAACTTCCAGTGACAAGTATGAGAGCGATAACACCAAATTTAACACAGCTGCTCCCCATTCACACCTGAGACCTTGTAACACTAACGAGTCACATGACACAGTGGAGGAAAAATGGCTAATTGGGCCCAATTTGGACATTTCCACTTAGGGGTGTACTCACTTTTGTTGCCAAAGGTTTAGACATTAATGGCTGTGTGCTGTGTTAATATTGAGGGGTCAGCAAATTTACACTGTTATACAAGCTGTACACTTATTACTTAACGTTGTAGCAGAATGTCATTTCTTCAGTATTGTCACATAAAAAGATAAAATAAAATATTAACAAAAATGTGAGGCATGTACTCACTTGTGAAATTCTTTACATTTATTTGGAGGAATGAGACATTTTAAGCTAGCAGACAATCTATAATGTTTTAAGTTTAGGAAGGGTAAATTGGACCTCCCTAATGTACATTCAATTAGCCCAATCATTCTGTTTCTATCCTGACCTCCACCTACATCACTTCTACAATCGCCTTCAGTGACAAATGGGCAATTAAATATGAATTGATTAATGATCACTACCCCTTTATCTGGAGAATGGAGCTTTCCTCCTGGAATGACTGATTTTAAAAGACTACAATAAGTATTTGACATTAACAAATGTCTACATATTTAAATATGGAGCACCTTTTGAAGCAACTTTTCTAAATGAAGCTATAGCATTTATAGAAATATTTGGCATTTCCCCTTTCAATATATCATGGCAGTATTACTTTTAGTATACCTAATTTTGCAGAGAGCACAGCAGTGTTGACCCTCCACTTGATACAACACTGTATAACATTCTAGCATCAATTTTGATGCAGCTTCTCAAATATTGACTCCATGCATCACTCTGGCAGCAAAAATAACGTGAGATGTTCCTAACCAGTTGGACGTCACATTAATGATGCTGTGCATCATTACTGCTTCAAGATATGGAACACTTCACCCCAAGCTCTTTATATAGTCAAAATGAGGCAGGCATGGCATTGCTGGCATCACTCATCTATGATGTTTTGACGTCATTCTGATGAAGTCAGACGGTAGGGCTATTTATACCCGCTCTTGATTGAGATACTGATTATCTGGTTATTGACTTGTTCTTGATTCTTAAGATCTCTCCAAGCCTGACATTGGCTTGTATACCCGACCTGTCGTTCTCTGTACTCACATAACCATGGCTTGTTCCTTGACCATGATATTTCTGTATTATATGTTAAATCTGGCCACCTCTAGGCCTGTTAATATGTGCTTTCCAATAGACTCCAACCCTCTGTTTATCTTGCTGACATGGCTGCAAAGAACATCATTGAATAAAGCTTTAAAAGGAACACAATAGTGTTAGGAATACAAAAATGTATTCCTAACACTATAGTGTACCTGTGTACCGGCACGCACCCTGGCAAAAAAAAAAAAGGGTTAAACAAACTGTTTTCACTTACCTGGCCAGTGTCGAGATCGAGATGATCTGGGAACCTAATGCGCATGCATTGAATCAATGCATTCCCATTGAGATTTTCAAGATGCTGGAGGTCTTCATGCATAGAGACTA